ATCTATCTATCTATCTATCTATCTATCTATCTATCTATCTATCCATCCATCTATCTATCCATCTATCCATCCATCCATCTATCTATCTATCTATCTATCTATCCATCATCTATCTATCTATCTATCTATCTATCTATCTATCTATCTATCTATCTATCTATCTATCTATCTATCTATCTATCTATCTATCTATCTATCTATCTATCTATCTATCTATCTATCTATCTATCTATCTATCTATCTATCTATCTATCTATCTATCTATCTATCTATCTATCTATCTATCTATCTATCTATCTATCTTTTACCTGCTTCTTCTTTTTTTGGTTGCGGGTGTCACAGGTGCCCATGACCAGCAGTCACTGTGTGAGAGATGGGGGACACCCTGGACAGGTCTCCAGTCCATCACAGAGACGCATAGAGACAAACGAGACAAACAACCATTCACTCTCTCTCTCACCTAGGAACAATTGAGAGTTACCAATCGGTCGAACATGCATGTTTTTGGTCTGTGGGAGGAAACCGGAGTGCCCGGAGAAAACCCACGCATCACGGAGAGAACATGCAAACTCCACCCAGAAAGGTCCCCGGCCAGGATTTGAACAGGCAACCTTCTTGCTGAGAGGCAACAGCTCTATCAACTGTGCCACAGTGCTGCGCCAGATTCTGCTTCATGAGACAAAAAAGTTCTGGGCCTGCTAACTCAGTTTAACTCATCAGAGTTGAGTTTACCTCCTCTGAGTTTGACTCCTCAGTGTTTGACTAGTCAGAGTTGAATTGAACTAACTCCTCTGAGTTTGACTCCTTCATAGTGTTTAACTCCTCTGAGTTTGACTCCTCTGAGTTTGAGTCCTTCATAGTTTTTAACTCCTCAGAGTTTGACTCCTCTGAGTTTGACTCCTCATTGTTCGACTAGGCAGAGTTGAATTTAACTAACTCCTCTGAGTTTGACTCCTTCATAGTGTTTAACTCCTCAGAGTTTGACTCCTCTGAGTTTGACTCCTTCATAGTGTTTAACTCCTCAGAGTTTGACTCCTCTGAGTTTGACTCCTCAGTGTTTGACTAGGCAGAGTTGAATTTAACTAACTCCTCTGAGTTTGACTCCTTCATAGTGTTTAACTCCTCAGAGTTTGACTCCTCAGTGTTTGACTAGGCAGAGTTGAATTTAACAAACTCCTCTGAGTTTGACTCCTCGGAGTTTGACTCGTCAGAGTTTGAGGTTTGTGTTGTTCACCTCATCAGGTGGCAGGTGAGCTCAGGTACTGTCAGGTTTTCAGTTTAGTCACTGATTTATTACATCTGCAGTTGGACTTTCTGCACTGGTTGAGACGTAAAACCAGGAGTTGTTCAATTTTCAAGTTGAAAGAAACAGAAACGGGTTCAGCTTTATGACTCAATACACCAACAGGAATCTGTCCTGAAGAGGAGGACAATGGACTCTTGTTCGTCTCTGGGTGCAGCTGGGACACAAACATAAAGCTTTGTTTTTATTTGGACCAGGGGGTGTCCCATATATCTGCTTCAGGTCTTTACCCCAAGTCTCTGCTCCGAATATTTGTCTTGAGACTTGACCTGGGTTTCGACCACAGGTCTCAGCCCTGAGGTGGGTCTCTTTACTGAGTCTCCAACCAGAATGTTTGTCCTGACTCTACTCCAAGTCTACACCTTCAGTCTGTCTTTGCCTCGACTCTGCCCCAAGTCTACTCTCCGAGTCTACTTTCCGAGTCTCCTCTCCGAGTCTCCTCTCTGAGTCTACCCTTGGAGTCTACGCTTTGAATCTACCCTCGGAGTCAACCCTTGGAGTCTACCCTCCGAGTCTACCCTCCGAGTCTACTCTCCGAGCCTACTTTCCGAGCCTACTCTCCGAGCCTACCCTCCGAGTCTACTCTCCGAGTCTACTCTCCGAGTCTACCCTCCGAGTCTACTCTCCGCGTCTACTCTCCGCGTCTACTCTCCGCGTCGACTCTCCGTGTCTGCTCTCCGAATCTACTCTCCGAGTCTACTCTCCGCGTCTACTCTCCGTGTCTACTCTCCGTGTCTACTCTCCGCGTCTACTCTCCGAGTCTACTCTTCGAGTCTACTCTCCGCGTCTACTCTCCATGTCTACTCTCCGGGTCTAC